AACCACAAGTCAATCAGTGAATACAGTCCTATTTGCAGCTTACCGATTTATATTGATCTACTTAAACCATTCAACCACCTCACACTTAGACTTGTAACTAAGTAGATTCTTGTCAGCCCACCACTGAATACTTATTCAACCATAATTTTCCATCCTCCATTTATCTCTTTTGTCAAACATTCTACATCTTACGGCCTGAACACTACAAGCTTATTTCCCGAAACGCTGCTTTTGTTTTGTTTGTAATCATGTGAAACAGACGGACATCTCATCAGGTTTGATCTCGAAATTCAATCTATCCCACCCAATTATCTGCGTTCTGAATTTTTCAGACCTCAAAAATACTTTTATCTTGACAGAGCAAGACAATTTGTGGTTCAAGCTTACTAAAGGGGAAAACGTTTAGCCCTTGAAAATTGTTTAGGAGAAATATATTAACAACATAAGGCTAAATAAGCAGATAATTTGCTGAACCCATGCACACCATTAAACTACCATCGCTTACACAAGTACTTTCATCCTGAGTAGCGGTATAACTTAATACCACATGTCCAGAGCTCTGATGAATAGAAAATGTAAAATACTAAACGGTAGGTCACGAAACTAAACTTATTGCACCTAAGAATTGCGACTTTTAAGAAAGGCTTCCAGGCAAACTTAAGTCCTTCGGAACCAAGAATCTATAATATTGTTGGTCGAGTTCACCTCTGACCTGATGTAAACAAATGATAAGAGACACTGGCGCTCTTTTTCACTTTTTAATAACAAGAGAAGCTTTCCAAATAAGTATTCTAGATCCAGTATTGTTTATCATTTATGTAAATGATACATACAGAACCATATAATTTGGGAGACCATGTTTAAGCGTTGATGGCCTCAAATTAGTAAATGGTCTTAAGTGACAGTATGTTTCAGATTCAAAGTGATTTTGACAACCTGGCCTTCCGAAGAGAACTTCGGTGATTACCATTTAACCACTTCAAGTTCAGAATCATGTATTACGGAAGACATCTCCATAAACCGATACTTTAAACAAATAAATATAGAGTTCAACCACAAAACTCAGTGGATGATCTAAGTACAAATTACACCAGAAGTCTTAAATTTGCGGACCATGTCTCACTGACTATTTCTAAATGTAGAAGACCAATGCATCTCATCGAAAATTCCTTCGTAATCGAGGATGATCACAAAAGTATACGACCCTTCCTTGAATACTGCTCATTTGTCTTCTCAAACATTGATACCATAGACAAGATATAAGTAGACGATATACAGAGAAGCCTCATTTGTCAGCTGCTAGGACGTGAGTCTACGTTCAACCTTAATGGCACCGTCGGCCAAGAAACAAACTGATATTTTTCTACAAAATAATATATGATCCATGACTCTGCCCACAAATAAAAAACGACTTATGTATACAGCTAACTGTAAGACACAAAAAAGCAGTGAGCTGCCAGATTTTACAGTACCACACAGATTACTGTAGAAAAGACTATCACTTCATACCTGCGACTGTGATACCATAATCACTATTACCACGATAATCCTGTTCTTAGACTTTAAAGTGTTTTGTACACAATCATGAGATTTACAATTATTTAGAATCTCTTCCGTTTATACACTTCTTGATTCATCCGCCTATATAATTGTGACTTGTCTTCCTTAACCTATTTAAATACATATGCACAGCAAGCATGTAAAATGTTACATTGAATATTCGAGTTTTAACGACATCATTCATATTTTAAGATACCCAAACTTATCCCCTTGTTTCTATAACAGAGGTGTCTTGTGGCATGTCAGCTTAACCCACCAACCTATATTGAAACATTCTACATCATTTGTAACACTTCAGTCTATATGCTAGCATTTAACAGCATTTATTCGGCTACCTATTCTTAGGTACTATTACAAACGAAACCAGACATTTAACGGATTATCAGAAATTGTTGAGAATTTCATCCGTTTTACTAGTTTTCTAGTGCACTTGTTCCAACCAAAGTTTGACATTGGTTCCTTCATACTTTTGGACTTTTGAGTGTTATCTTGCTTCACATGGTACATTGAGATTTGCGCTTGGAAAACCCAAAAATTGAAGATTTTTCATAAAAACTGCTATCCTAATTATTATTAGACTTATACATTGAGTGATATTTCGGACTTTACGAATGAAATTTCTATTTTAGACTTGTAGTATTTATTTTCTTATAACTTAACTGGAAGTCATGAGTTTATCAATCAACTATCATTCAACGACGGACCAGACTAGAGATTTTCGACTGACTAGGCTCTCCGAAGTACTAATGATATTCAAGTCAAAATCTTATAATTTTACTCATAGACCAGCATCACAGTTGTATAGTGTATCAAGTGAATATGTAACTTCTAGTGCAGAAGTTGATCTGCTAATCTTATATATAAGAGAGAATTTTTCCAGACTGGGCTTGAAAAACACGGCCTAGACTAATTCACTGTATTAACGTGTAAGGATCAATACAAAAACGGATTAAAAGTTGCTGGCCAAATATATAGTTATGGTTGCACCGAATTTTGGTTACATCATTTATGTATACATAAGTCCTAATTCTTAGTTCCGATCTCTATCCATATCTTAAGTTCTATAACGGAGATGCTAAGCTATTCATTTACACTTACTGCCTTCTGAATAGCTTGATAGAATCTGACAAGGTAGTTTAAAGACTCACAAGTCCGCTCTTATACTGCATGTAACCAGTGCTTGTAGCTGTTTGTTTTTCTATTCGTGTAAAACATTACTGATCCAGGAGGCTCTGGTTAGAAATTCTAGTGTAGATAACAAAGATTATTTTATCGTCATTAGTAAAACTACGATAAGCGCTACAAAACCGAGAGTCTTCGATAAAGAACGAACTCTTATAGAACAGCAAGCTAATCTTATGTGAAAGTTATATATCGAGTCACTTCGACAGAGAATCTAGATATATTAGTGACTTAAAGAGTCATATCATGAAAGGTACAGTTGATGGTGAATAGAAATCATAGAAGAGGCAAAGAAGGAAAGGTCAAATTGTTCCTGATACTATTGCGTGGAGCTTGGAGGGGTCGAGTGACTCGGATCCTGAATCCAGACTTTCATATGCTTCATATTAAGTTGAGCTGTTTGTCTGTCTCATATTCCCGACTTATTCATCAGGTACTCATGTCAAGAACTAATAAGTTTAAGCAAGAGAGCCTATGGTAGTACTGATTCCCCGCCACGTATACTTATTAAGATTCCTAGGGTTTGAGTAACAAAATCTCAAGTTAACTTGTTCTCAGGAGAAAGATAATAGCAATACGCCGGTGTAACTGGAAGATAGAATCAAGAGGAAAACGGGTGTGTCAGAACGAGTAGTCTGGAGACTGTTTAGTGTGACTACAAACTACCACTCGCTACTTATTGAAATAAACAAGACTGGTATGGTAACAAGAAAGAAAATAAGACTACAGAAGGATGCTTTATTCAGCAGTTACTAATTAATACATTCACAATGAGAGTTACATATCATTTTAAATGTTCGGTCAGTGAATAAATTTGGACGAAAGTAACTAAAGTTAGTCAATAATCTAACATGTAGTATGATTTTCATAGTAAATAAATAAATTGACTTGACTGAAAAATATTACTCACTCCTAGTTTGTATGTTTGTTTTATTCCTAACAATAACTACCACTAGGTTAACTTTACTATTGTTTTGGTAAAATAAATGAAAAATATTATTTGGGCTGGTGTTCTACGTCATGAGGAAGGAATGTTTTTCTGTCTAAAGGACGACAGGCTCTTAGATCACGTCTTTCATGTTATTTGTTTATTATATTTGAACACATCTTTCATGTTTGGCTAATCTGATTCCGAAATTAGATTTGGCTTTAGCAAAAGGCGAAAATATTCCGGTAGATGTAATTTTTATGAACCTCAGTAAAAACTTTGATTAGATCTCTCATTTGGGTCTTTGAGCAAAGTGGGAAGGCTTCGTAATGGATTATACATCAAGATCAGACTGATGAATTTCTTAGTGATAGGAGGCAACGTGTGAGAGTAAACAGCACCTTGTTATTGTAAGAATATGTGAAGGCTGGAGACGTGTTTGTTAGCAGTAAATTCTAGCATGCTCATGGTATGGTAAATAGATCGTTGTGACGAATTATGCAAGTAGATAATAGATGAAGTGCTTTCAACTAACATCAATAATACTATTTTAAAAGCCACAGCAATTAATGAGCCCAGAATCATGGGTAACTATGATGGGCGCTGCCAAAAGTTTCCTTATTTTGTAGGTAATCCGTAAAGCCTGTCATAACTTGGAGAAAAATACATCTAGGATATTCTGCCCGACGTATGTGAGACCTCGTTTGAAATACCGAATTCAGTCAACGAATCGTTGTTCCAAATATGAAACGGATATTCTGCGACGGGTTTAACGACGAGGAACCAAAATTTCAGTCTTCCTGACTTGTCTTATCAATAGGCTGGGACGCTTCAACCCATTTCTGTTATCCGACAGTAGATCTTGGGGTGACGTATTACAATGTACTAAACATTGGTTTTTGTACTAATATGTTCTATCTTTCTTTTCAGGTAGTCTGAAAAGATATTCTCAGATAGTTCCAAACCAAGATCAAGTCGTTTAAATCTGGAGTTGTTAATTACTGGAATTCTCTGACAGAAAACGTAGTATCAGAGCTTGTTGATACATTCGAAGAGATATTGTATCTTCACAGTACTATAAATCTCAATGGTTAACATGGGTCACTTGACCTCTTACCCTTACTCCTGAAAACTGACTGCATCCTATGTACGGGCTTACTGAATTTTTGGCTCACATCTCTTGTTCCTTATCCTTCCAAATTTCCACTATTCTCTGCACGTTTTCCAGTACTGATAGTACCTCCAGGGTAGACACGAATAGCTGAATATTTTCATCTCATCAAGGGATTTACTTCTAAGACGATTTTAGCTATCTGACCGAGTTACGCACAACCTGCGTTGTCATATTTCGGTAGGTAACCAAATTTCATTTTACTAAAATACATCCTAATGCATGCAGAATGTTCTCGCAACTTGACTTTGATTGATAGTTCGAGATTAAGAAATAGTACAGAGTTACACGATCAAAGGGGTTGTAATTCCAGGGCCCCTATTATGTGGGAATTCGATGAGAGAGTTAGGACTGTTGTCTGTGAGCGATTTACTTTGGTGCTCAGTTTTGCCAATATTTGTGTATCTAAATAAATAAAATTACTAACCTACAGAAGACAGAAGGGTGACATCACAACCTGCTCCGACCATTGCAGTAAGGTAATCTTACCAGAGCGTCATCATAGTGACGCACTTGAAAATCCTCACAGGGTTGTCCACTAATAGGAAAATACCAAAGAAACACCTCAGTTTATGCATCATGTATCTGTTCTACATGAAACGCCCTCATAACCATCGTACCTATAGCCTTTTCGATGGACCGTTGCAAGCAAGTATTAGATGAGCATACAAAAGCACACGAACCTCCCTCAGCCAGGTGGGATGACTAGTGAAATCACAGAGTAGGATAAAGTTGGAGTGACCAGCCTCCCCCCACCCAATGTTACATGTGTTGATATTTCTTCATATCTCCCCACTTACGTATTTGCCTTAATTATCATTTCAATCCTGCCTCACTTTTCATTCACACCTAATCAGACATTCTTCATATCCCGTTATTCTGACTGAGATTAGCTAAACTACTGTTAATATAATATTCTAAGTTTTAACAGTCCTATAGTCCATTGAAAAGAACATGGGAAAAATGAATAAATCAAACTAACAATCGCTAATGTGATTTTTTACAACGAAGCGCGTGCAAAGAATACAACACTTACAGCTAATAGTTTTATGTACTCTGTTTATATAAAGTATTTTGAAAGTGTTTAGTTCGCAGAGTTCGGCGGTAATCATGAAATTGGAGGAGGTTAGAGTTTTTTTCATTAACGTACCCTAGTTGCCAATCTATGCTGAGTGTCTCGACAGTAAGACGTATGTTCTTGAGAGATTAGAGCCAAGCCCAATTACAAATACTGTTATGAACTCTGTTAGTCCTATAAGGACAGAAGCTCAAGAACTATTTACGTACTCGATGGTAATGTTCGTCCCAGATTTTAATTTACTGATCTTCAGAAACACGCATTAAAGTACCAATCAAGCATTAGAAATCTCACCACATGTACGTCATTCATGTTACATATTTTCGGAATTAGCTATAACCAAAGTAATAAGGGATGAACCGGTTGTATTAGCTCGTCTAGGATTCGTTGTTAGTTGTAGTTTGGGAGGCTGGGTTCTTGGATATAAAAGTGAGTTCAGTTGTGTTTTTTCAAACTAATCTTAACAGGCCGTTCTTTTCGCAAGTTGGCTTACGCATCCATATGTGGTTCTGTTGCAACCGTTGTTTCTTTCCCTAGTGGCTCTGTATCTAACCTTAAGTACGCCTTTGATTTTGGGTCGAACAAGCTCTCTGAGATCGCAAAAAGATTCAGTGTAAGTTCATTGCATCTTTTGTCATCATCGTTTAATATTTCAGTCGTAGGAGTTATGAGCATGCACACATTTTGGTTATCCGTGAGACTATAAACCTACTTTGCTGTGTAACTACATTTTAGCCTAATCAGTCATAATCTTGCAATTAGACGTTTTTTCTTCAAGTTCATGGGTTCAGATATTTGTTCATACGGGTAGTTGAACTGCTTGTTAATGGTTTAAATTATGGTTAGCCTACGTCATATATATATACATATATAATCTTGGTCACATTACTTTATCGCCACGTAATATTTGTATCGCCGCATAACATACTAGCCATAATAGTCGAGGCAGAGAACTGGACAAATATTTTGGATTTCCATGTCTGAAACGACGCCACCGACGTGTACTGTCAGCAATCGGACATAAGTCCCTAGGGTCGTCGAAAATCGGTCGGTTTTGGTCCTTATGTAGCTGTATTAACTAGTATTCTGACCAATAAGTTACTGCAGTTATTGTCAGGGTAGTGATACTCCCTGAACTTTTATCGTGAGGTAGGTTTTAAATCCAAATTTCATTCGAAAATCATTTTCCAGCCCAGTTAGTTGACATTATAGCCATAACAACTCGGGATTTATTAGTTTCCTTATTAGTATCAACTTCCTCGTGAAGTAAAGCAACTTGAGAACATTCCTGTTTCTATATTAAATTTAAGTATTATGGTAGACGTTACTAATGTTTAGTTTATAGCATCTAGTTTTTATTGTGTTAGACACCGAAGCAAATGGAGACTGTATGTGGAGCATACCGATGTACATCGAAAATATCTCTAAATTAACACTACAACTACAGAAAAACTAAAGCAGTTTTTACTACTTAGCTTAATAGTCGAGCAAGTCTAAAGCTTTCTGTTTCAATACTCCTTAGCGATATTCAAACTAATCGGTTCAAATGTCAACCTAATACATTTTTGTACTTTCATGCTATTTTACATTTTAGAACTAACATCTTCGTTTTTCACAGTAAGCCGAAAAAATACAATGATCTGTAATTTGTCAATGCATTCGCCAGACGATAGTTAACCATTATAAGCAATTAGGATTCAAAATTAGCTGTGTAAACTGGACCGTTTTGCAATCGTATGTCTATTGCAAATACTATTTGATGTAGTGTGTGATCAAGTAAGAAGAGTTACTAAAAACCAAGTTAGATAACTAAGAAACATTTACAAACAAGTTTTAAACTACTGAGTATTACTTTAGAATAGTTGTTTTTATAGTTATCCGTGTTTCAACAATAGGATCTTTGTGTTCAGATCTAGGTTTACATGATGTACAAATATAAGTGGATGTAAAGCCGGTTGTTACAGACTATGTAAATAGGATATTTTAGTGACATAACGGCAGAACTTATGGCTATTGAGGTTGCTAAAGGTTGAATATTTCATATTGAGAATTTGGTATGTGCTGTGGGAAAGTATATAATTTGGCAAAAAATAAGTAGACTCCATTTTTAGTAGTCTACATAAAGCTTGTAAAGTCATAATTCGTAATAAATGCAAAGATAACTATTCGCATGCTAATTTACTATCAAAGGAAGATAAAGCGATCCCAAATGCTTGTAGGGCACACATAGGATACGTATAGTCCATTGTGAAGACGTCCTCAGAGATACGTCCAAATTGCATAAGTATGTATTCATCTAAAAAAGATAACACAAAACAATTTGTTGTCAGTATATGTACTTGGACAGTCCAAGTTGATGACATCTGAATTAAGTTGGTAGAAATCAAGCAGTTTGGTGACAAAAGTCACGGCCGTTACCATGTCGCAATATGATACATACTAAAACGTTTGTATCATGAATTCTCAAAATAATAAGAATTAAAAATCTAGAGCTAAAGGATCGTCATCCGATAATCGTTTGAGTAGTTGTATTACAGTTCTTGTAAACAAATTATCAGTGATGCTGTTAACGGAAAACGAGACCATGAAGGTGAGAATACCAAAACTTGTCCAGTTTCTTTTGTTACAAGCTTGACGAGAAATAACTTTCGATAGTGCAAACAGTGGTAGTGCCAGCCACTAACATACCTATAGATCTAATGGTGTCCATTCGTATACCAAATTTAACATATCCACCCATGGTTAACGCGCAACATTCATTTCAAAATAATTCAAGTTTTCAATTGTTAAATAAACGTGGGACCTGGTACGTATGTACATCGGTCCAAGTTACCACACCTCATTAACACGGAGATGAAGTTGTCAAGTCGAATCTCAGGATAGTGTTAGTAACAGTAACATTAGTGACCGAACAATCAGGAACTGAAGGAAATATAAATTAGTGAAATAGAAAAGTTGTACGGAATCCAAAAGCTTAGAATTGAAGGAAGACAAAGAATGGATGCACGTGTGCCACTGCTAACAGTTTCCAGCTAGGTCACTCCAAGTCTGTAACTATTAGTTACGACAATCACGCGGACGCCAACCAGGTAGTCTATACAACCGTCCAGTCGTCGATGATTTTATGGATTGATGTCATGCTTTCAGTTGGTCCACTTCTAGCTCCCCTCCGGTCTACTCTCACACCACACATCTCCCGTCGAGGTAGGCTGTGGTCGGGCTTACGTCACACATCTCAACCACCTGTTTAAGATTTGCTACTCCATCAATCGACTCACCATCCTAATCTAGTACCGTGTTTCTAGCCAAAGCATTGCTTAGTCAGTGGTCACGAAATACAAGAGGAATGCTTCGAAAACACCTACGATCGAATACTAGTGGTCTAAGAACATCTTTTATTCTTAATGGTCATTATTATGTTATAGAACTATTGCAGAGCAGATACTAGTTAATATGTAATGCGTTGTTTGAATAAACGACGTTTTCAAAGTTCGAAACTCATGACCCTCGGCTGCAGCTCGAATGCAATCGAAACAGAAAACAAACCTGTAGATAACCTATAAACTTTGATGGAGAGGTGATATTCCAGCTTCAGTGTTGATCGGTTGAATTTGGGTTTAAGACTAGCAAATAAATTTTGACAACACCCCCACCGCGAGAAGGCAATGAAAAGGACTTCCCTGACAGTGGCTATATAAGAAAATTTCGAGAGGGAAAGCTGACTCTCCTCACCCCCGGCCATACTGAAAGTGCGTCAAGCTTAATAGACATGAATATGATTATCGACGTGTAAGTTCGGTTAGTTATTCCTCAAGACACCATTTAGTCCCGCCGACTGACTTTCTATAGTAGCGTCTGTCCCATACGGTTTTTCAGCAGTCGGATCACCTCAGCTAAATTAGATATTGTTGTCACCTACGGTCAGTCATTCAACTTTGTCAGAAATATGTTAGAATCATTGTAGTCCAACTTAAGTGTGATTACGTGCTAGTATTATTAACAGTGTATTTTCATGTGAAAATCCTACAATATGAAAATCAATAATGTAAGGATACTTTTTGATTTCCTACAGTCGTGTTATATGTTAGAGATATTGCTTCTGAACTTTGACATATGGGGTTGGATGATCATGTATGCCCTCAAAAAGTTACTCGTACGATGGAACCAACGAATCCCTTCACGACTTCGTTGGTGGCATGATTGAACCAAGATAGTTTTTGAAATACGACTGACATGAAAGGCTTTTCTAGAAATGTGATTGGAATCTTACCGTCACTTCTGTGTACGATTTGGAAGTTCTTCACCGAAGCTTGCGTGACGCGACCATGAAAATTGAGCACGTATGATTGGGTCTCTGAAAATGTATAAGCGAAGAAGAATGAGTCTATGTATTAGTAAATATTAACCAACCTGGTAGTGGGGTCTTTTAAGATCAATTGGTAATCAACACAATGCATACGTTGAACTGAATGCGTAAACAGCGGCTACAGGTATCATCTGGGATAAACTAACATGTTTCAACTCGGTGAACAAAGTCACTGTAATCATAGCTTCGTAAATAAGATTCTTAGTCAAACAGCTCAAGTGAATAACCTTAACGAAATTTCGAAAGGGGACAAATATTCCACCTTAACCGAATGTTAGAAAGGCTTTATAATTGAATATAAATTCATTATCAATTAAGAAAATATGAGTCAGTAACTAAATTTAATGTTAACAAAAAGAATAATCGTGGCTTGTTAGTAATGAAATAGATACAAAAACTAGTCAGTTAGGAAAATGTCGTACAAACAATGGACACGAAGACTAGCTTCATTCTTCTAAATTCTTATGGCTAACAGTATGTTAGGAGCGAAATTGTAAGAAATAAAACATGGGATAGCACTTGCTAGATAACCTTGAGTGTTAAGCATCTACCCCAGTTTAATGACACAGCATGCGAGGATAGGGTTCCTTAGTGTTCGTTACCATTCTCCGCCCGACCGTCATGCGTGATGTTTAGAGGTGCGATGGATAAACTTGTACAGTTTCGTTGACTCATTTTCGAACTACAATGTAAGGATCAGAGGCTACTTAGGTAGACAGTTATTTCACCTTAGTTTCTGTTATAGGTGTAGGTTTTGTTAGAAATTCCGACAAACGATAGATTTCTGCTCAAGAGGTCGCGTATAGTATTTAGGACGCTCTCGAAGTTGTTTTACAAACAGATCCTGCTCTTCGCTGTTGCACTTATCTATAAAGTACTGATATGGTGGAAATCACTTGGAGCTGCAGTGTTTTTTTCAGACAACTGCAAAACTTGGTGACCGGATTCTTTGTATATCCGACCGTTTCAAAAAGACGAATGCCATTATGTTGTTGGTACTCTTAGTACTGTTGCTCAATATGAGCATCTAAGTCAATCCAAAAAGGTGGACGCATCGAGTTCGATGGATCATCAGTTAATCCCTAAAACAATCCAGAAGCTACTGTAAAGAATGTTACTTTTTATGGAGGTTAATAGGAACAACGTACTAAAGACAGTATACTATATATAAACAGGAGAGTAAATAAGGACTAGATGGGCTACAGTCCAAATTACAATGTACGTAGCTGCTCAATGGGCAGCAATGATGAAATGACCTCTTCATAAAGGTAATTTATCACAGGAATAAATGGATACCACAGTCACTCAAAACCGTAAAATAGGATATAGACATCACCCATCAATATAAATACTGTGTGGCTTCGGAAAACCGATATCGGAATACGAAATAGTTCCTTTGGAAAAACTATTGTGATCTTAAAACCCTGAATATTAATAATCAGCGTATCATATCGTTATAAAAACGGTAGAACAACTTATTCCTCACTAAAAGATGAAGTCCCTAGATAACAGTGAACTTGTGTATGTATCTTAAGTTGCTTTCAGCAAAGCATCAGAGAGGGTCCCACAGTCCATGTTTCTATTGATACGTTGGAAACTACAAATTTCTGGAGATCCACTCATAAATCAAGGAGTAACAATCAGCTCTTAAATCTCCTGTAAACTGACGCATATCAGACCCCCACAGAGCATAATATTGATTTCAATAACTCTTGACTGTAAGTCAGTCAGCTACAAGGTAGGACCAGGCACATATGTACATCGGTCAATTTTAATAACTTATTCTGCATACAAATATGCTACCTAGTATGTTCATAACTTTAATATAACTATACAAATGACGATGAACAAGTATTTAGAGATTATCTTGTTATTGTTTATTATCTAGGTACGATTGTTTACCAAGAAGATTCGAACAATTAAAAAAGTTGGAGGAACATTTCAGTCGTTAGTTCTCACAATTACTTGAAACTTGCATAAGAATTCGATAGGTAGGACTGCTTTTTGCTTACAGTTAGAGATCCTAGAACAATATAATCGTCAAGAAGGACATTCACAAAGACATGAAAATTTGTTCCACATGCTTATATATCCCATGACAGCAGTTTAAAGGATCGATTATCTAGTTGGCCAATAAAGTTTGGCATTTCAAACCACATAAAAGGTTTTTAGTTCTGATTAGATAAACAACGTGCAGATTTTTTTCCACTAACTTTTTTACGAAAACACGTGAAGGAATAATAAATAAAGCAAATCCATGGTAGAAGAACATATCCGGCCCTAACACGTACAGGAAATATAACTTTCTAAATCGAATTACTTACAAACAGCTAAAGTTTTATAGTCTTAGCTAAGTAAGTGCAACTTTTATCCAACAGACATACTTTCTGCAAAGACGAGGAAAGGGAAGCGCAAGTTTGTTAGTGGTTTAACGGAGATTAACGATTCATCAAAGAATTGGTCAACTGAAATTTCGAACCATCAGTGGGAAATAAGTGAATTTGGATGGTGCAAATGAAGTTCCAATCCATTTAGACGACTGACTACCACAAAACCCAGATCATAACGTTCTACTGACATCCCTTTGATACGCAAGTGAGATCCGGGAGTAGTAGTAGTCATCCAAGAAATCAACATACTTTTGTATAGGACTTTTGAGGGTAAAACAGTCCTTACACAAATTATAGCAATCTGAAATGAAAAAAGTATTATGGATGTCAGTTCTGACCCATTCGAACCTTTCTCATGTACACTAAGATATAAAATGCCCCCCTGAACTGGTAAGAGAAATCGTGCATTTCCGTTACTTCTATCTGAAATCGTACGAACTTGAACCGATCACGAAAGAATTTCAATCTTACCTGAATGACAAAGAATACAATCAATAGATATATCGAAAACGACGAATAAAGACACATGTCATGAAAATGCTCTGAGTGTGAACATTAGATTTCGGTGAGCATTCTACAACATCATGACGATAGTCAATCAATTCTGACACTGGAAATACTTTGACGTGTAAGCCATTTGAAAAGATGCTGTAGAACATTACTATTACGTTCAACATATTTAGTGATGCCTTACTGTACCCAATTTTCGGACTCCAATAGCTAACACTTTTATGCCAGCTGTGAAAATACCTTTTGGATAAACAGGTTCGCAAAGTTTGGGGTCTTTGTTTTTCAATCACTAATTTCCTGAGTGATATCTTTTGCTATATACAAATAAATACTGACAGATATATTTGAGGTGGTCAACGACTCATTGAATTTCATCTCACGTATACAATAGACTGAAATACACCAGTTAACAGCGTTTATCACAACATTACACTACTACTGTATTATGACAGAGAATTCATAAATAAGTTTTATAAACATTATTTATAAAGTACAACATTATATCTCAGGAATGCCCAATCGTACAGTCGTTCTTATGATTACAGAACACAGTTTGTTTTTGCTTGGATCACGATTAATTTTCAACAAGGAATTAAATGTACTATTTTCGGCCAGTAAACGATAAACAAGAAATATGCTCCGTTTTTTGGACAATACCGTTTTGAAGGATGAATCAATATACATGTTGCCTTACCTTCATTCCAAACAGGATTCTTGTTTTGTAGTTGTAGAACGTTCTGCATATCTTTTCTCCGCCATGAGTCGATTAGCCAGGTAGTATCCTAAATGAACAAGGAATATTTGCTAATTAAAGATGCCAGTGTTATTGTTAATTTGAAAATCACGCTTGATGAATCAACGGAGATGTTTATAAAAAGGAACTAAACTGAAGCATGAACTACTTTAGGAATAAGTGCGTACAATGCAGCGTAGAATTACAGTTCTCATTACTAAATTTTGATTATTGAACAAAATAGGCATAGATCGATTACGTTATACCTTTCAAATAACTGAATAAGAATACGTCTATGCATGAGTAAGTATAAATTCAGAGATAATAATCTAGAACGTCAATATAAGTATTTATAAACGAGATGTGACTAGACAATTATTATATTCATGTAAAGAGAAAAATCAACAATACATAGTAATATCGAGCACCAGCGACGACGAATGTCTCGTTGCTATAACATACTAGCCGACTGTGGTTAAAAAAGTGGCACTAACCACCATTTAAATATAAATGAGTGAGTTCAGCTCTACAGGAATTTAACGACACCAGATTACGAATTGAAAGAGTTAACTCTGGAATGGTTATTCCAATAAGACCGACATTTCGCATGCTAATAGTGTCATTTTTAAACATAACAACCTGCACAAAAATATTATTTCGATATTGAATTTTAAAAAATGGTATATTGACTAAGGACATACATTTCCAGGACATGAAAAATGCTGACAAGTAGCACTTAAGCGCGGCAAAATAATAGTCATTCTCCTTGGTCCTTTGAAACCCAGTACGTTTGTATCCTGAGAAAAACGAGTAAAGGTACAATATCAAGAAAATCACTTCCAGGATTGTGGAATGAAAGCTGGTTTATTGATAGTAGACTCTATGTATAATCGGACAAAAAGTTATTATTAAAGACTTTTTAGACAATATCGCACTTAATATTTGAAAAACAGTCATTTTAACCTTAACGTTTTAGCTAATAAAATGTTTCTTCATTCATACACATTCGTAAAACTTACACAATTAAATAACCAGTTACTTATTATTGGCTGAAGTATTACCTATAACATCCTGTTATTTTACGAAATTTACATGTTAAAGCTGCTTTATGGAGTGTAGATATAATGTTCACTGTATCTTTTTATCTGAATGGGGATACAGAAGTGTTCATCTATTTTAAGCTCAAAAAAGGTTTTTAGTACATTTTTGCTAATCATGTTTTGAACATTTGCTTCAAGGTCATGTTTTCGTTATCATCCGTTATATTTGTGACAAGCTTACTAAAGCAGTTTGAGGTAAATAATGAGAACTTGACTCAATGTATTTCCGCTCAATTTACCAAACTTTCTCGTCCACAGAGCGGCAAGAAATCGACAACACAAAAAACACGGAATATAACAGGAATGAGACAAATGAAATCAATCAAAATTCATTATCTATGTTCCCCACCCATATGTTTGGCGAAATTCGCATAATCTATCGTGAAACCTCCATCATTTGACATGGCTGCTTCCAACAGTCAACGGATTTATGGATTAATCCCACTTTTCTGTTTGGTAGGTCCTAAGCATCTATAGACCTACTCCTCTGCTGGTCAACATTGCTCATCAAAAACCAGTTTCTAGGATTCGTGACGTAATCAGGTCTACAGGTACTGATAATAAAACTTACGTATATGATTGCAGCAAGCTCTAGCATATTGTGTGTCTTAGTAGTTGTCGTTATCGAACCAGAATCATTTACCTTGTCCCCTGAATTTAAGGATTCACTATCTCGTGATTTTGATTCACAGCCGTACACAGTAAAATGAGTACCCAGAAAGTTGGAGCGCAGTTTCCCGGCAAAACTAATTGCATCACGAGATAAATTAGTGGCATCACAAGAAATCACATAGTTACTCGTTGTTGATCGCTTGCGACGCCTGGCTGCAAGTAAGAAGAACTTACAGTCTTCTTTTTCAAGATGAAGATAATATGATGGAAAAATTCCACGATCGACACCTCGTTTGTCTCGTGTAATACGACAACGTATGGTCACACCCTTTAAAGTCAAAAAATTAATTGGAAATTAAGATACAAGCATTTTCTGAATTACAAACGATAAAATGTTATTTCGAGAATCCTGAAATGAATCAAAAATTTCATATCTACACTCAAGACAAGTGGTTGTTGTGCCATTGTAGCTTCTAAAGTACTGTAGTGAACAGAACACGGGTGGGGACAATTGAATGTATTTAACACAAAATTACAGGACTTGTTAATAAAATCTAACAATCATAAAGTAAATGCTTAATTTGCAAAATGTCCACCAATCGTCTCAAAACGACTCATACTTCATTGTTCTTGCATTTTGTTTCCACTCTTTACTGTTCGATCCTCTTGTCTCTGCTGCCAGATCTTCTGTTCACGACTAACATCATATACTACTTATGTCAATATAAGAGGCACACACCACAGTACTACAGATAATCAAAATGGACTGGTGCGGTTATTGAGAATTATCATTTATTTTTTAGAACTTGAAGATTTCTGGAGAATCAGATACGATAGTATCTTTTGGGACTGAAATTATTAGCATGTGAATTTGAACAGGTTTTGCTCATCAAAATAAATCTGTATTACTGATCATGAGCTATGTACAGAGAAAAATAAAACGGACTCCAAACACAAGTTATGGTATTCATAATACATCAATTAAATTGTAAGAAATGGTAGTGAAAGTTCAATTTAAAAGAATTTGAAACAATGTTATTGGATTTTCTTACGATTGACTGAAGATCTAGCAGCTCAGAAGTAACAGTTCATCATTTCACAAAATAGTATGATATGGAGTTACCACATGTGTATATGTTAACGTTGTAATAACTAGTATGTGGTGAACGATTACCCTTGTCAAATATTAGGGTAATATAAGTCAACTTTTAAGTGTTGTTTTATTTTAACTGATTCCAATTAACTAACCAATTTTCCCAATGATAAAATTCTGGAAGCCAAAGTGAAGCGTACATAATAGAGGTGGGCATACGTTTTTTGTGAAGTGATTCAATGATTACAGGTAGAGCAATAGGCGGGGGCGACATACAGAATGCTCGTATATTTTCAATTAATAAACTGAAGTACATCAACCATTAAAAAGACTAAGATTTAATTACACAATTATCAGTGTTAACAGTATCGCATTATCAACAAAATGAGTATGAATATGTAGTTTTTTACTGGTCCATTGTATTCAGGAAATATTTTGTTTGAGACAGCAAAATAAGTCATTCGGATAAAATGTTTCAAGATTTTAGTAAAAAGTGTCACGTTCAAATTATCTCATACTTAGCAGCTTTCACGGATAATCTCGTACACCGCTATTTTCCCACCTCTGGTCCATAATTATAAATGAAAACAGAAAAGCCATATGGTAAGTCCGATTTAAGCGAGGCTGACCTACAATCAGTAAGCCTATCATATATTTAGCTAAATCCAATACCCATGTGTCAATTCTAGGATCAATTTATCTAAATACATCTGAGTTGTCTCGTATCTAGTCCGTAATATGGCTTTCTACAGAGTACTGCCTTTTCTCTTCCTTTCCAGTTTAGGAAAAGTAGGTGTATGGGCTATATACAGTAGCTAAGTTGAATGATTGAACATAACAATTGCAATTTGGAAATAATTGGATAATTGACAATATAAAATAGTTCTGTTACATTTACCTGAGGAGCAGGTTTCATGATGAATTCTTCCAAGTTCCTAGTTGGATCTAAAAGTAAGGACTGAGTTGCCTCACCATACTTTAAGTCTTCACACTCCTGAGTAGCGTTTGTCTAAATACGTGAAAGATTATACACCCATTTTTATTAATGTACTCAAAAATCGACTACACGTTAAGGAAGCAATGAATTAAAGCAAAAATGCAAACTTGGGATATTGGTAAGGTGTCATAATTATCGAAATTCTTTTTTGTCTTCATTTTTACAATAGGCCACAAAATATTATAAAATAGGCTGAATTCGTTTAGTATGAAATGATTAGTATACCGGATTGAAACCAAAGTATTTTGAATAAAAATAAAGTTAATTTGGCACAAAACATGGGTAAACCAAAACTTTATACTTTTCTATATGAATGAGAATAAGAACAAACTTAACAGTTATCTATTAACTATACATTAAGAATTTCCCTAAAAAGTTTAATTTCATATTTTAATGGTTTCTAGTAAACGACTAAAAACAGGGTGGTACCAATGACAACATAATTAGTTACTTTGAGGTACTAACGATTCGAATATCAAAAACGTAAACTGTATCGTTAGTGGATTCAGTTTTTAAAATACAGAGGATACACGAAACATATGCTAGGTGAGGTTTTGCGAACAGTTCGATGGACTTCTATTGTTATGCAAGTCAGATTGGTGAGGCAATACATTATCGGTGAAGCATGAGTTTAAAATGGAAAGTTATCTCAGTGACGAAAACATCTTAATACATGGTGTGACGTATCAGTGGCAACAGCTCCTCAATGAATCAATTATTTGAAAAATAACCCTAATTATTTTGATTTTGTATCAAATTAACTGTCGCCTTTTGTTGTCATTAAGAAGTGTGACAATTTTTCATATGAACTTAATACAATAATAGCCTTTGAGATTTTAGTAGGTCAACATGAAGTATTTTATGAGTCGGAATTTCCTTATTTCACATCATATTGTACACAGGTTGTCTGGAGACTCATTAGAAAACTACAACAACTAGATGACAGTGAAATAATTATACTCTCATTTGTGAACTATATCTTACGGAGGGTAGTGAAATAGTTTGAGCAGAGTTCCTATTTTGAAAATGTTACCTTGTTTGAAGAAGAATCCCAAGATCTCCTAACATTAGGTTTTCCAGAGTGATCCAATATTTGGGTTAAAATTGCTTTCTGGCAGAGGTTTTCCGATAAGTCTAAAGGATTCTCAAGGGTCGTTAAGACTTGTTCGACATTCGACTTATTCCCTTTAATGGCATTGCTAACGTATTGCATAGTTGTCAAAGAACCACTAAGTGAAGATGTATTCGACCGATTCACGAAAACAGCTAGTGGGGCATGGACTTTTCGGCCATTACGAAAATTCTGATAACTACGCTCCCCATCCAAAGTCTGCAAAATATAGTTGAGGTGACTTAATAAATTCCATCAAAAATTAACTTTACAGTATGTGGATAATTTATATGCTTTACCAATCATTTTACTGTGAGAAGGAAAGCCCTAATCACCTTCAGTACTGATTCATCTAGGGATTCAGCGTTAACACATAAGATAATTTATTTGTGAAGAATTCTTAGTATGAGGAAACAAAAGTGGAGATGGGAAAATTATAAACTTTGATTCAGTGAACAACATCAGATACTTCGCCAAAATTAACAACTTCGTATTAAAGCTATTTTCGGAAACCACATTGGTGGCTATTTAAGGATGATAAGTAATATTTTGAATCGTCATGTGCAAAGAAGGCTTTTAATTGAACGGGCCTCTTATAAATGGAAAGGAGGAACTATGGAACACATTGTTGTGTGTTTCAGGATATATATCTATAATGCATGTATTCTGAACAACTGATTTATGGAATTTTAATAATATCCTAACCCATCCAACGCATAAATGCGAACTTGCACAGTGTGAGTTTTAAGCCTGAGTACATCGTTAGCTTTATGCTGTTCTCGCTGATAGTTCGGGACAGAATTTTCAGGTGAACAAATCAGTGTCACTGTATATCTAATGTGAGTTATGTTAGTAGCGTTCTCGGTGTAAGTAGAAAATACAACAGTTTCCATTACCATTGTTATCGCACAAAGCACCAATCAGCTTCATAAATATTTTGTTTCAAATAGAAAAATTCAAATACTCATGTTACATTATAAACTCAAAACTGGTATGTGATATATAGGACTAACCTTCTCAACAGGATTCGCATTATTACCAGTATCCGAGTTTTCGCTGTTGTATTTGGTAAAATTCGTGACTCCGCTATAACTATCCTTATGAAGATGACTATTGGGATTGTCAGATATCTTCACTACTTGTTTCTGAGTCATAAAACCAGAGTGAGACTCCGCAATTTCATTTTCGCCATCACTATCCTCTACAAAATTCAGGTACGATATACCGATAAAGACTTCAGTACTAATAGTGAAGATCGAACGAACACAAAAAGCCTGCGATCTGGCATACGTATATTATGTACTTAAAAAGAACGCAGAGTGAACAGCTACTTAAAGTGAAATTCCAGATCATTTATGATCATTTTAAATTTTACACTAGAACTAGAATCTAAATGATAACCAATAGGCTGGTGATAAGATTACCGACACATAACTTTTATACTTTTCATCATTAAAGAATAATTTTCAACACTAGCTTTTTGTAACAGCACTTCGTGAAAATAATTAGCGTACATGAAGATACACTGGTTCGAAACAATTCTTAATAAATGTCTGAAAAACACTAATCAATCTGATCATTTTACTGATAATCAACTAAATGGCGCACACCATTGTGAACCTCTTTGATACACTTTAGTTGGTCATGATTTGTGCATCAAGTCTACATTCTAGCTTTTTCATAGTGCAAGAAGGTACCATGCCATATTGTGGTAAGCTGTAGACGTGAAATTCTCATGAAAGTTGATCTCGACAATGGAATTATTTTCAGAGACTTTTACCCGAATATATGTAACGTGAAAACTTGCACTGACATAATATAGGTGTTGTGTATTTTGGATTATTCTGTACACATCAAAACACTTTCATTAATATATTTGTGGCTAAAGTCGTATTTTGACTAGATTGATATCATCTTCAGGGAATGAATATACATATGGTAAACTAAAACAAAATCATTTAACTTGTCAATACTCAAATCGCTAAAATATATAATTAAATAAGATATTAGCAATGTAGAGGCTATAAACCACCTAAAATCAATAAGCTATCATGGATCTATCCCAGCCAGAAGCACCAATCAAAAAAATTAAGCCAGAAATGTATAAAGTATAGAGTAGTTGAGTGATTATTTTTCATGTGTAGAAACCTAAACTGCTACAAGAGAGCCCTTCGATAAGTAGAAATAAATTATGTGTGTACCAAGGAAGTGTTCGGAAATTATCCGGATGATGCAGTAACACTTCATCATATCGCGTATCGGTAGCTGAATAACGCTCAAATACTCAGTCAGTAACAACGTAGAACTTCGTACGTACGTACATCAGTTCAAGTTGCCATACCACATTAGCACAGAGATGTAATTGTCGATTTAAACCCCATAGTGGTAGAGGTAGTAAGAATGTAAGCAGTAATCGGAAAGATCAGAGTTTGAAGATGTTATTCAGGGAGTATAATCCAGTGAAGTAAACCTGGAAAGAGAAAAAACGATAAAAGGAGAATTCAAGAGACTAGAATTTGGGAAGACACAAAGAGTTGATGCACTTGCACCAGTTCAAACGATTTTGAGCCATGTCATTCAGGGTCTCGAACCATCGGTTGCTATCATCTCGCGGTCCCTAACCAGGTAGTTTACACTTACCAACATGACCCAGTCCACTTGTCAGTGACTCCGTGGATTTGTGCCATGTTTTGGTATGGTCGCCCCTAACTTTCTTCCAACCTACTCCTACACCAGAAAACATTGCACGTCGCGGCAGTCGGTGGTTGGGCATACGTAACACATGTCCAAACCATCTCAACTGATGAAGTTTCACTACTTCGTCAATTGATTCGACATCCTTATCTAGTACCCATTTCCTAACAACTGCATTGCTTACTCGGTGGTCCCGGGATATACGAGCAATGATTCGAAGACACCCATGATCGAATACTAGTAACCCACGAACACCCTCTATTCTTATCAGCCATATTTCACTGCCATAGAGTAGGACGGGACGAACTGCTGTGCAGTAAACACGTCCTTTGGTTGATAGACGGATATCTCGCCTACGCCATAAATGACGCAAGTTGGCAAAAGCTAGTCGAGCCTTCTGTATCCGTGCTGAGATTTCGTCAAACGCCAGACCACAAGGGCTGATGAGACTTCCAAGTTAAGTGAAGCGGTCAACACGCTCAGCTACTTCACTTCCTATCATTATTTCGGGTGTGGATGCAACCCAATCCTGAAGCAACATTTTGCATTTCGAGGGGGAGAATCGCACCCCAAACATCCTTGCATTGCTGTTTATAGTGGTCAGAAGACTCTGCATTCCGTCAGCGTCTTCACCAAATGTCATCCGCATATTCTAAGTCAATAGGTGAATCTCCCAGTAAAAGTTCAACTCCTGGAAATTTAGATGAGGAAAGTGTTATCTCTAAAAGCACGTCAATGACAAAGTTAAACAAGAATGGAGAGAGTGGGCAGCCCTGACGAACACCACTTGAGATAATCAATTCTGATGACAGTTCGCCATAAGCTCTCACTCGACCAGTTATGTTCGAGTAGAGAGCCTTTATAAGGTTAATGTACTTCTTTCAGTGACAAACACTACCATAGAACCTCACGATCAACAGAGTTGAATGCTGTCTTAAGTTCGAGAAATACCACGATTGTGGGGCGTCTGAATGTCTATCTATGTTCTAGGACCTGACGTGGTGTGAATATCTGGTCTACACAACCTCGTCCAGGTCGAAAACCAGTCTGGTTTTCTCTAACATGTTCTTCACCAGCTTTGGTTAGGCGTCAAAGTATTATTGAAGCTAATATTTTAGACACTATGTTAGTCAAACTGATTCCTCTGTGATTGTCACAAGAGGACTTTTGTTCTTTTTTTATAGACTGGCACAAGCAGTGATTGAGATCAGTCAGATGGGATTACATCCAGTTCCCAGATTCTACCTAAGACTTCAGTTAATCTCACTGTTAATACTGGACCGCCATATCTGAAAACCTCATGGGCAAACCTGTCAGGGCCTGCTGCTCTATCATGCTTTAGATTTCTTTTTTTCAACCAAGTAAAGAGTTGGAGGACTTACATTACCTTGCCATCCAGGTCGACTGGAGATTATGGGAAACCGAAGCGCGGCTGAAGGCCAGTTGAAGTGATCCATAAAGTGTTCTGCCCATCGATCCAATCTCCTGGATTGAGAATGAATAATATGTCCATCTTTTTCAGAGATAGTTTCGTTAACAGCTGGGTTCCTAATACCAGTTTCCTTGAAAAGTGTGAAGAATGGTCTGCTGTTACCCATTGCCACTGCCTTTTCCATCTCTCTTGTTTTCGCTACCAACCACTATTCGCGATGATTGCGTAGGCTTCTTATAAGTCTGCGATTACGCTGACTCCGCCCTTCGTTATGTTTAGAGCCAGGTGGGATGACTTTTCGAGCATCTATCAGTGCGGTTGATGTTGATGAGATCCAGTGTTATTATGATATGGTGAGGTCAAATGAATGACGCTACTCGGATCCTGTATGTGCGTTTCGGAGACCACGACGAGTGTCCCTATCTTTTCGGATCCTTACTGTTACGTTTAGTCGGACAGCGCACGACTGTCTACTGGGATCCAGTCTAAGAGAGCTTGTTCTGCCCTAGGACTCAGTGCTAAACCTACGCCGGCGAGTCCACGAGAAGCAGAATCTGGGCCTCCAGATACACCAAGTGTGAATCGAGTTGGTTCGTTGTTTTGACATGGTGATGTCAAGTGAATGACGCTACTCGGGTCCTGTATGCGCGTTTCGGAGACGCAGCACGCATCAATGGCGCGGGATTCTAAAGTTCTAGCTAAGGAAGCCTGTTGTCCTATTTGGCACAGTGTTCGTACGTTAAAAGCTCCTACATGTAGTTTAGAGCGTAGTTTCAGGAGACCAGGAATAACGTTCCGTGTACTCAAATCGTTGGCCCTAGCGATGCGAGGTGAAAAAAGGACGTGAGAGGGGTTAAGCGGGGAGATAAGAGAGGTATTAAGAGGTGTAGGAAGGATTTGAATGTGACCAACTTGGTCTCGTGTGTTGTTACGGGTATGAGGGCTGATGTCACTTCCCGGTTGCCCACACCGTAGAAGGGTATCTCTAGAGGAACCTGAAAAGGAAGTCGGATTAATGTCGGCCTTAACGACCTGGGAGCGTGACCGCAGAGTCCAAGGGACAACTGCTTGAGGCCGGTCGCGCACGGCCTTTTTGTGTGAGGTTTTTGATGTGTTAGCTCCGTTCTTCAAATGGCCTTACCACCGGAGAGGGATATCCGTGAGGTAAGGGTCAACCATTTCTAACCCCCTCCATTCTTGTGAGAAGGCAGCATCGCTGCAGATGCCGGTTGTCCGAGGGAAACACCTTACTGCTGCCACACCTCTCTACAGTCGGCAGTACAACTTCGCCCTCAGACTATGAGTTGCTGCTTTTAGTCTTACCGTTCTTCAATCGACCTGCCTGGCATGGTAGAACCTACAGGAACATATGTTCCAGCCAATATAGCTCGGTTGGGTCATCAGAAATTGTAATGTCTTAAAAACCGTGAAAAATTGTGTAAAAATCTAGTTTCTTGATTTCATTACTACGATGCGATCACACAACCAACGATTACTAAAAATAAAAGCAGAATAAAAAACGCCCGCCCTCCCTCTCGACATGCTCTCACACAGCCACGCGTACACAGCCTCCGCCAGGGAAGTCGTACTCTACTCACTAACTTCTCGTGGAGGGGGTGTTGTTTACGAAAATGAGAGGACAAAAAGCGAATGTCCGGTGCTTTAACCGGATCCCAAACCAATGGTGCACATGAACTCCAGTATCCTGAGGGAACAAATGGCGTATGAACCAATCGTTGGTCACAGGCTACCATGGAACTGCACCTCCTCACGATGCTCCACGGCCTTGTGGGTCAGATCTAAAGGTAAAGGGCGCGGGGTGTGGCCCCCTAAAAAAACCAAGTGCTTCGGTTTGGGCAGTATCACAGCCCACACACAAACAGAATGAAAGGACGATAGTTACGGAAAATACTTTACTTGCTTCGACTAACAGTCAAACGGTTCACATTATTATTATTATTATTACCATTATTATTATTTACTAAGTCATTTATTCACTCTCATTCCCGCTCTATGTATCCTTATTTTTCGACTTATACAGCAGCTCGCTTATGGTGGAAACTCGGTTCTATCTAAACGCTCTCGAGGCACTGCCTGATTGAAAATTGTATGCTACCACCAAATACGAATAGTGAAGCAGTTTTTATGAAATCACGTGCACCATTCAAACTGGCTGCCTTCAACGTTCGCACACTTATGCAGGTCGGACAACAGATAGGGCTAGCTATGTCTTTGGAAAGTCTTAATATCGACGTCTGTTGTCTATCCGAGACCCCTACCCAAGACTCTGGTGAAGTACTACAAATTAGCTCTCCATATGTCGCTTCAAGAAGCTTGTTTTACGTGCGTCTATCCGTGGACCCTGTGGCATCTTCGTCCAGTTTTGCTGGCGTTGGTGACGCACTAAGCGCTAGAGCTGAGGCAGCACTAATCGACTGGATCCCCATTAACAGTCGGTTATGTGCTGTTAGATTAGAAAGTTCCATCAAAGTGAGAAAAAATCGGCGTGAGAAACGACGTCTTTTCGTTATCTCCGCCTGTGCTCCGACAGATTGCAGCCCGGATGCAATCAAGGATGAGTTTTACCACCAGTTATCTATTCTTCCCCAGAAAGTGCGTTCGACAGATATTGTAGTACTAGCCGGAGACTTGAATGTTCAGGTCGGGCATCTAGGCACAGAAGAGAGTCGTTTAGGTGGCCGATGGGGACTCGTTGGTCGCAGAACAGATAACGGGGACCGTCTACTGCAACTATGCACAGACAACAACCTGTTTCTGGCTAGCACTAACTTCCGGCACAGTCAGCGCCAACGTGCCACCTGGCGTCCTCCCTCTGCATCTCAGCCCTGGACTCAGAGTGATCACATCGCGATCAGCTACCGCTGGCGTGGTTGTGTACAAGACTGCCGCTCCTTTTGGAGCACTTATATGAGCTGTGATCATGTCCTTCTTTGCGCCAATCTTACCTCACTTTTCAGTGGACAACGAAGTGACCGCCACCAACGGATTGATATTAGCAAGCTGGTTGCAACTTCTGTTGCTAGTAAGTATCGAACCGAGCTAGCTGCTAGGCTAGCTACCATTCCACCGGAAAGTATAGGTGAGCATTGGATGCAATTGCATGACGCCATGAAAATGGCCAGTAAAGCCCCTTGCGGTTTCGCGAAACGTCCCGCTTGTAAGCACTAGGTTTCTTCAGGCTTCTTATAACTCATCGAAGCCCATCGTTTCACACCGTGTGACCGTGAGTTTGACCACAAACGAAGGATGTTACGTAAGGAAATCGGGCAAAGCTTGCGTAAAAACCGAGAAGCCTGGTGGTCGAAGCGTGCTAATGAGCTGGAAGCAGCAGCTGCATCTGGTAATTACCGGAAGCTCTTCCAGCTTATCCGAGCCACTGGCAGCAAGAAGTCTGGTGTGAGTGAAACAATCTGTGAGGATGATGGAATGCCAATCACTGACATCCAACGACATCTTGGACGATAGGCAGAATTCTTCGAAGCGCGGTTCAAGTGGTCTGCTGCTCCGGCAACATCGGTCGGACTGTCCTACCCTCCATGGCCGGTGACGACTGATCCACCAAATGAGGCGGAAGTTCTCAAGGAACTATTGAAGCGCTACAAATCACCGGGCCCAGATGACTTACCTCCAGCCCTTTTTAAAGATGGTAGTGACTTTCTGGCTAAGGAACTGACGACGTTGTTTACAAAGGTCTGGGAGCTAGAGAGTGTACCAACGTCATGGAATGAGTCGATAGTTGTCCCTATCTTTAGGAAGGGTTCACGTCGTTCCTGTAACAACAATCGGGGGATATGTCTACTTCCGATTGCATCCAAGCTATTGGCTTCCTTCATACTTCGTAGGTTGGTCAAAACCCGAGAAAGATTGGCTCGCGAGGAGCAGGCTGATTTCCGTTCCGGTCGAGGATGTATTGATCACATCTTCACCCTCCACCAAATGTTAGAACACCGCCATACTTATCAAAGGCCAACAATCGTAGTGTTTCTTGACATCAGGGCTGCCTTCGATTCGTTGGATAGGACTGTTCTCTGGGATCGTGTGTTCAAGCGCAAAGACGATAATTCGATTGTTGTCACCATCTTGAAACACCGACTTCGGTGGCTTGGACATGTTCTACGGATGTCGTCCGAGAGAATTCCACGTCGTGCATTATTTCCCGACTCTGGGACTGGTTGGAAAAAGCGGAGAGGTGGTCAATGTATGACATAGTGCCGGGGTATGAAAGAAAGTTGCAAAGGGCTGGCTTCTGTTGGTTCCTCACGACTCCCTGACTGGGGTCCTAGAGATGGTGCTACACAGTGGCTAGAGACGTTATCAGATAAGGCTCAGAATAGAAGTCATTGGCGATCCTGTTGGAACCTTCTTTAACTTTCTTCATAAAAAATGGTTGTTTCTTCCTTAACTGAAAAATTTCTTTTGATCGTACCTTCCCGTTTCCCCCATTATTATTATTTTTTATTACTATTACAATAACCTGTTCGTTATTGTTCTTCTTCTTTCTCTTCGAATCCTCATCGTTTTGTGTGGCGCATATATATTTGGTGCCCTCTTGTACCAATATTTATGTGTTCAAATAAATAAATATATATATAAATAGCTTTTCTATTCGATAAAACCAATGGTAAAATACTTTATTTGTAACGATGCTGTAGAAGATGAGTACAGTCGTTGGGAAAAAAAGAAAAGAAACCAGGCAACTGGAATATTAAGAAAATCTTGGGGAAGACACAAACGACTAGGTTTTTTATATGATCAGTTTTTAAATCTAAAAGTTGTCTCGTTGGTATGATTTGTAAGCCATGTCTTAAACCTTCATTGTATATTCTTTTCTATATCACTTAGGGACCCTACTGTCTAAAAAGATTGAAACAAGGAATCAATGAATTTATGAGTTAGAATAATGCTTTAGTTTGATTACCTTCACTGATTTCAGTCTCGAGATATTTAGTGCAACAGAAAACCAAGAAATGTACCAAATTTTAGTTCGAATATCACAAAGTACTCTAAATCTACTCCAAATGATCAACCTGTAATGAAAATCACCTTTAAATTGAACAAAATCTCTGGGAAACCACATTAGAAATATGTTATTTTATCTATTTTGGATTCCGTCACATTTCTAAGTGTTTTACCCAAAAAACTTCAATATTATCGACTGTAAGCTTTAAGTTATGCGTAATTTGAATAACTTACCAGTAGAAGCCAGATAGGTATCTTGGTCAAGAGAAGACAACATAGTACTCGACCGTGTGATGGTTAGATTATTCAGACTATCAGTACTTTTGTAATCTTCACTATCCACTCCATTATCTTGTATTGCTTCAGAGTTTGGTTTGCGCCTTACTGTTTGATCAAACCTTGGTTGTCCCAAAGGAGTAGGTTTTGTGAGTACATGAATAACTTGAACTTCACTTGTAGGAAAATCATCAGGGTTTGATGTATCACATGATTGCGGACCGTCATATGCTAAAACATTTATACAGGGTGAAATAATTATTTGAGCATAGGTGGACTAAAGCCACACTAAATCGAAACGATGAGATCTTCAAATCGAACTTCACGGTAGTTTATACTGATAAGTGTAGAAGAGATAAAAAGGAAAACAGACTGACAACTGAAACGACATATAGTAGCACTGGTCAATACTATTAAACTTAATTTAAAACGCGTTCTACCACAGGTTATAACGGAAGTTCAGTCTACGCTTTTATAATAGTGAATGGAAGTATTCTATGTTGTGAAGCTGTTTGGGATAAACGATCTACAGCTAAATGTCACTAACTTAATCAACAAAAAGATCGTTTCTTTAAAAGACTAGTAAACCAAACGTAATTGATAAACTTAAACGTAATTTTCCACTAAATTCAAGAAATGTATGTAGTCTAGCAAAAATAGCTATAATTCAGCACAGCAGATTAAAATACGTGAATTGAAAATACGATCAATCAGTTTATTTGTATTGTAAAGGTAAAATTCCCGAAAACAGTTAAAATCACCATGTTTTGAAAGGAACTCAAGAAATAAAGAGACGGTCAAACGGGTCGAAAAATAGCGCAAATGTTAGTCTGAGTAAATGAAAGGCACACAATGAATAACAGACACCATCAAAAATGATGTAATGTAATCCCAAATCTTGATTCCGTATTATCTTACAATAAACAGATATTGTGTTATTAAGCAGTCACGTCGTTACTTCTTACTACAACTTAATCCCAGATCAATGATCCCACAATACAAGCATCGTACCTTTTTATTGAAATAGTGGGAGTTTTACTAACTAGTAATTACAAATATTCATTCGGCTACAACGCAGGACCAAGCACATATATGGATCTGTCCAAGTTGCCAAACCTCATAAGCACAGCAAGATGAACACCAAATCCATAGAAGTAATCACATCAATGGTAGTAATGTATAAAAGAAAGATTTGTGGAGATAGACCTGACAAGCTTATTTTATAAATAGTCTATGGTACAACTCTAACGTTACCTGGTCAACTAGTCAACTATGAACCTACAACGCCCGGGGATTCTACTCACTTCGCAAGTCGCCTATTACAAACGATGCAGAATATTAAAGCAATATCCCCTCACGAACACAACTATCGAGTACAACTTGATAAAAACCTTGAGACGTGCAAATTTGTCTTCGTCCGAGTAGATGCGGTTAAAAAAACATTAAAACAATCATACGAAGGCCCATATAAAGTAATTAAACGCACACAAAAATACTTCATCATTAACAGAGATGGCAACAAGCAGACCATTTCTATAGACAGAATAAAACCTGCTTTCTATGAAGCTACTCAAGTAAAAAAAGACAACGCCGTTGACAAACAACCCCTCCCACCAGTGACTGAAAAACCAGTGGAGGATAAAAAACTTAATGCTAAGTCTTCTTGTTTAACACGCTCCGGTAGACTTATAAACAAGCCCAAGCGTTATGTCCATTTCGTCGATTAAAACAAAACGAAAATAAGCAAACACCTACCGACGTCCCACACAACTAATTTCACCCAAAAATTTTTTTCTTTTCACAGTGTACACAATCATATTTTTCCACAATTATTCGTTTTGTCACATTTATTTTTTTTATGAAAATTTTTTTTGTCACTATAACAAACGAGTAAACTCTATTTAATTACTTATTTATGTACACAAAAACAAACAGTTCAATTTTTTTGGGTCATTAGCAGTTTTGCACATTATTATTATCATTGTTAGCCAAACAATACATTAAATGACAGTGTTTTCATTTTTTTTTGTGTTTTTTATGCTATTCTACATCTCTGCTAAATAGCATACTCATCTCCACATTTTTGTTAGTTACAACTGTAAATATTATTTTTGTATACATGTATATATCATATCCTTACATTTTTTAAATTATAACCAGTGGTACCTCCGAATACTCTGGGGGAAGCTATGTGGAGATAGGCCTGACAAGTTTATTTTATAAAGTTTTCAATGTTATTTGTATTTATTTTGTCAACCTTCCACTGTATGTATATTTAACATTAAATGACTGTAACTGTTTTTTTAGTAAATGACCTTGAACACACTTTCCGTTATGATACTGACATAGCGTGACATACTCATGCTGGCTAACAAATACACTACTACTCACACATTCCTCGTTCTATCTTCGTTTGTGATTGAGTTAACTGAAGTCTAAATCAAATACTATCATTATTTACAGACTGTAATTGGAATATACCACATTCTACGTTGGATTATATCACTGGAGAGTTCGTCAACCCGTTCAGAATCACCAAGCATTTATAAGTGTGGATTTACAATACCGGACACAATCAGAACACGCAACATTTGGTCAATTTAAGTAACGTTCCAAATTTTTATTGTATTTGTAACAATTAACTGGTATATATTAATATTACTATTGATCTTTAGTAACTTTGTTAATACTTTTCGCGTTCATATCTGTCTGGTCCACCACAGATTGAATATAAGGATATAGTAAAGGGAGAATCAGTTGGTAGAAAGATATAAAGCAATTTTACAATATTAGATAAAACATCTCAATCTCATCCAAATCGTCGCCAAACTTTTGATGTTACATCCAGAGTATGCCGAGGAAAATTTGGGCAGCTGAAAGAAATCTAGATAAATCATCACTCAACAACAACTAGAATAAAATTACAGCAAAACATTGGTTAAACCTTCATAATGCTTACAATGACAATCGTTTGAGAAGACTTACCATAATAATTTTCACCAGTTCTACCTTTTATTGGGAAACCTAAAGCCGATTGACTTGATGATTTGTTTTCTCTCCAGCTATTAGCTTTACAACTACTGATACCAGCACTTTCTGTACGTTTTTGAAGTGACAACACTTGGTGTGCATACTTTTGCCTTTGTTTGTTGCGAAGAAGTTCTCTTTGCTTCTCTAGTTTTGTAAATCGCACATTTTCCATTATTAAGATGGCCTAGGAAAATAACTAACAAGTCTGAAAAAAGCCATTGGACCCGTAACATTTCAATAGAATTTAGGTAGAAGACACATGGACGGTTTACAAAGCATGAATACAAATGGTATATCACTAATTAAATTTTGAGGATAGGAATTTCAATGAGGAACATGTATAAAGATGGATGAGTTATAAAAGACCCAGGAAAATGAGCTTAAGTATATTATTTTGAAAAAAAAACACATAGTTGACAAAAGCCTCCTGTTTGGGTGCTTATTTGATATAAATAATCTAATTGGACAATTTTAGATATACCATAGTATCGACAATCCAACTAGTCGCTTCCATTCATCGCGATGAAATTTCTGTGACAATGTCTCATAAGTTTAAACGACTTTAAGTCAGTCAGTCGTCTACAACGTAGAACCAGGCACATATGTGCATCGGTCCAGGTTGCCATACCGCATCAGCACAACAAGATGAACACCGGATTCATAGCAGTGGTTAGGTCAAAGGTGGTAATATATAAGAGAAAGATTGCATATAGAGATATAGTACAAGAAAGAATTGGTTCGCAGACAGAAAGATATGAAGTGATTTTAATCTCTTAGTTTAAGGGAAGACAGGGAGTGTATACACCCACGCCATAGTGATCGATTCTGAGCCATGTCACCAAGAGTCTCCAACCATTGGTTACAAAAGTCACGCGGATCCCAACCAAGTAGTATGCATCTACCAACATGGCTCAGACTAGAAGTTAGTGTCTTCAAGCACTGATGCCACGTTTTGGTTTGGCCGCCCCTCAGTCAGTCAGTCAGCTACAACGTAGGACCAGGCACATATGTGCATCGGTCCAAGGTTGCCATACCTCATTAGCACAGCAAGATGAACACCGGATTCATAGCAGTGATTAGGTCAAAGGTTGCAATAAGGATATAGTATAGGAAGAAAGAATTAGTTCGTAGACGGAAAGAATGAAGTGATTTTAGTCTCTTAGTTTAAGGGAAGACAGGGAGTGTATACACCGACGCCATTGTGATCGATTCTGAGCCATGTCACCAAGAGTCTCCAACCATTGGTTACGAAAGTCACGCGGACCCCAACCAAGTAGTCTGCATCTACCAACATGGCTCAGACTAGAAGTTAGTGACTTCAAGCACTGATGCCACGTTTTGGTTTGGCCGCCCCTAACTTTCTTCCAACCATCCCCTACCCCGGTTAGCATTGCACGTCGTGGTAATCGGTGTTCAGGCATACGTAATACGTGGCCCAACCATCTCAGTCGATGAAGATTCATAACCTCATCAACTGATTTACCATCATTCCCTAATACCCTGCGTCTAACCTCACCATTACTTACCCGGTGATCCCAGCAGATGCCAGCAATATTTCTAAGGCATCTGTGGTCAAATACTAGTAGCTTACGGGTGTCTTCTACTTTTAAGGGCCATGTTTCGCTGCCGTAAATTAAAACAGAACGAACTGCCGCGCAGTATACTCGTCCTTTTATTGATAGACGGATATCTCGCCTTCGCCAAAGGTGACGCAAGTTGGCAAAAGCCAAACGAGCTTTTCGAATCCGTGCTGAGATTTCGTCCGATACCAACCCATTAGGGCTGATCAGACTCCCAAGATAAGTGAAGTTATCAACGCGTTAGACTACTTCACTCCCTATCCTTAGTTCAGGTGTTGACCCAGACCAGTCCTGAAGCAACAACTTGCATTTAGAGGGAGAGAAGCGCATCCCAAACATTCTGGCATTGTTGCTTAGTGCTACCAGAAGACTCTGCATTTTCTCAGCGTCTTCACCAAACAGGACTATGTCATCTGCGTATTCTAAGTCGATAAGTGAACCTCCTGGAAGGAGATCAATACCCGAGAATTCAGTCGACGAGAGTGTTATTTCCATCAATAGGTCTATGATGAAGTTAAACAAAAATGGAGAAAGTGGACAGCCTTGACGGACACCACTTGAGGTTGCAAAAGTAGCTGACAGTTCGCCATAAGCCCTGACTCGACTAGTAGTGTTCGAGTAAAGAGCCTTCACAAGGTTTATGTACTTCTGAGGTACGCCTTTCAATGACAGACACTGCCACAGAGTCTCGCGGTCTACCGAGTCAAATGCTGCTTTTAAGTCAAGAAATACCACCATCGTCGGACGCCGATAGGTATGCCTGTGTTCTAGAACCTGACGAATGGTGAATATGTGGTCGATGCAGCCACGACCAGGTCTAAAGCCAGCTTGGTTCTCTCGAGTTTGTAGTTCACGAGTCTTAGTTAGGCGTTTGATAATTATCGAGGCCAGTATTTTAGATACTATGTTTGTTAAACTAATCCCTCTGTGGTTGTCACAGGATGATTTTGACCCTTTCTTATATATTGGGACGATAAGTGATTGCGACCAGTCAGATGGGATAAAGTCTAATTCCCAGATCTTAGCTAAAATATTAGTCAACTTAATCGCTAAAATTGGACCACCATCCTTAAAGACCTCTGGAGCCAATCCATCTGGACCAGCTGCCCTTCCTCGTTTCAGATTAACTATAGCCTTTTGAACTTCAGCAAGAGTAGGGGGACCTATTTCAATGTTCCATTCACACTGTCTGGGAATGGAGGGTAGTTGTAGAGTAGCTGAAGGCCAGCTGAACTGTTCTCTAAAATGTTCCGCCCATCGTTCTAAACGTCTGGACTGGGAGCAGATGAGAGTATCATCTTTTTCCGAAATAATCTCACTTACACTTGACTTACTAATTCCAGTTTCTTTTATTAGTCTGTAAAGCTGTCTTGTGTTCCCTATAGTCGCCGCCTTTTCCATCTCTTTTGCTTTCGTTACCCACCACTGCTCACGGTCGTTCTTTAGACTTTTTCTTAACCTAGATCTGATTTGTTTTCGCTCTTCATCATGTTCAGGACCTGATGGGACGAGTTTGCGAGAATCCATCAGTGTGACAGACCTTGAAGAAATCCACTGGTTCCTTGCAACTCTGTGGTTTAAGTCACTAATAGATGTCACTGCTGTTTCCACAGCTGATTGTATGCCCTTCCAAGCAACATCTGGGTCAGCCTCGTCTTCACAACTACCTAAGTGTGACCTCAGTTGTTCCTGGAACCTACTTTTGGTTTTCTCGTTACTCAATTCAGTTCTAACGAGTCTTTTTAATGTGGCTTTTTTGCGTCCAGTGAGGCGCAAGCAGATGCGTGCCCGTATTAGGGCATGGTCGGAGTCCAAGCAGGTACTCCAGAATGAGCGACAATCTTCTACCGACCCTCTCCAACGATGACTGATGGCAATATGGTCTATTTGAGTCCATCGTTGGTTTGGTGTAGGGGGTCGCCATGTTAGACGATGTCTCTCCTTATGCTTAAAATTTGTGTTTGCTAAAAATAAACGATTGTCTGAACATAGCTGCAGCAGACGCTCACCATTGTCTGTTCGCTGTGTCGGAATACTAAAATATCCACCTAAATGCCTTTCTGTTTGGTTTAAACTGCCTATCTGAGCATTAAAATCACCTGCTACGAGTACTATGTCTGAGCGTTTAGCTTTCTGAAGAAGTTCGGACAGCTTTCTGTAAAATTCATCTTTCACATCATCTGAGCTGCAGTCAGTGGGAGCGTAGGCAGAAACGACAAAAAGGCAACGACGTGTGTCCCTATCCTTCCGAGTTCTTACGTAGCCGTTCAGCCGAACAGCACATAGACGACTGTTGACGGGGATCCACTCTAACAGTGCTTGTTCGGCCCTCATGCTTAGTGCTATGCCTACACCTGCCAGTCCACGAGAACTTGCCATCGGGTCACCAGATGCACGAAGGGTGTACCTCGTTGGCTCTCCGTTTTGCCGAGGTGAGGTCAGGTGAATGACCACACTGGAATCCTGTATGCGTGTTTCGGAGACACAGCACACGTCAATGGTAAGAGACTCTAGGGTTTTAGCCAAGGAAGCCTGCTGACCAATTTGACATAAGGTTCGTACGTTGAAGGCTCCAATGTGTAGTTTGGAGCGAGGTTTCAGTAGACCTGGGACAGTATTTTGCGCACTAGAATCGTTGGCTATGGTGACACTTGAGGTGGAAGCCGAGATGGGAAATTTAAAGTTGAAAGTCGATGTAGGAGGAATAATAGGAATTGAAGAGGAAGGTTGATTATGAATACAGTGGTCTTGAGTGCTGTTAGAGGTATGAGGGCGGTTTTCACTTCCCGGTTGCCCACACCGTGGAAGGGTTGTTCTGGAGGTACCTGAAAAGGAATTTGGATTAAAGGTGGTCTTAGTGACCTGAGAGCGTGACCGCAGTGCCCAAGGGACAACTGCTTGAGGTCGGTCACACACGACCTTGTTATGGGTAATTTTTGTGTTAGCTCCGTACTTATTGGGACCTTACCGCCGGAGACGGATATCCGTGGGATAAGGCGAGGTGTGCATTTTTAGGGTCGACCTTTTCTAACCCCACCCCTCCTTGTGGGAAGGCAGCATCGCTGTCATGCTGGTTGTCTGAAGGAAACACCTTACTGCTGTCACACCTCTGTACAGTCAGCAGTACGACTTCGCCTTCGGACCTTGGGTTTGTTGCTTTTAGTCTTACCGCTCTTCAACCGACCTGTCTGACATGGTAGGACCTTGAGGAACGGTTGTTCCAGCCAGTATAGCTTGGTTGCTTCATCACGATAGGCAAGCCCGACCACCACGTCAAGGTAGCAACAACGGTCGGGTTGGCCGCCCCTAACTTTCTTCCAACCATCTCCAATACCGGATAGCATTGCACGTCGAGGTAATCGGTGTTCAGGCATACGTAACACGTGGCCCAACCATCTCAGTCGATGAAGATTCATTACCTCATCAACTGATTTACCATCATTCCCTAATACCCTGCGTCTAACCTCACCATTACTTACCCGGTGATCCCAGCAGCTGCCAGCAATATTTCTAAGGCATCTGTGGTCAAATACTAATAGCTTACGAGTGTCTTCTACTCTTAATGGCCATGTTTCGCTGCCGTAAATTAAAACAGAACGGACTGCCGCGCAGTATACCTGTCCTCTTATTGATAGACGGATATCTCGCCTTCGCCAAAGGTGACGCAAGTTGGCAAAAGCCAAGCGAGCTTTTCGAACGACTTTAAAATCAAAGTAGTTTTGGAGATCCTTAAAGCCGTAAGTGGAACTCAGAAATATATGCCGTTATTATGCATAAACGATACTGTTTTGACGGAACACGATTACCAATAAAATTACAACCCATCTTTTTTAGCAAGAATAAGAAGCATTATAGTTTTTATAAAAGGGATTACATGGTACCATTCTGCTCAGTTTTTTCCTAGTAGAAGCAAACCTTAGAAATAATTAGTGCTAAAAAGTAGTGAAAGAATCCCACAATTTCCGTAAGAAATCTCATTTATATTCCATCGAGATTTAAAAACTTTCCAGTTTCTTAAGGTTTAAACAACAAAATACGCAGTTTTAGCAATTGAGGCAATAATGGAAACACATCTGGTAGATGTTAAGCTGTAACCCTCAGTCAGTCAAAAAAGCGTAAATTACATTACCAAGAATACATGTATGCTTAGAGACATTTTTTATCAAGTGAGATTCTATGAAACCTGCCTAGTATATCCAAATTAAGATTGTCTTATATGACAGGAATTTGAAACCAGCTTTATACTATAAGTAAAGCATGACATTAGTGTCTAGGTAGCACCTTTCAAGGAGAAATTATTTTATAACATCAACCTCGAGGAACTATAACGAAACTCATTTAGGTAGTGATGAAATTCAGAAACGAAAATGATATTCTATGATGAAATTTTACGTCACATGAAAGTGAATAACTTTTAGCTACGTAACCACACGTTTTTGATCTTTGTCACTCGAGCTTCGAGAACACTACGAGATCAGGTTGCAACAATAGGTAGGAATACGTCCCATTTATATGATTTAGTAAGGAACTTAATAAATTCCTACAATGAAGAATCCGTATCAAGATGAAATACTAGGGGATCAATGATAACACTAGGCAACCTGGCTAGGGTAACGCCCACTGAATATCACAAGACCTGGAACGGTACCGAAACAAGAAACGGGCGTTAAGAAGTAAGTTGGTGTATACGTGGTAATAACAAAGATAATAAATACCGGTAAACTCCCTTAGCGACAAACTAATATAGAGAGTAGATGGTGAACTGCTGTCATGGAGAACAGTACAATCGAGTACAATCTTAAGCCATTCACCGTATTTACTTGAAGTAAATTAATTAGTGTTAACGAACAAATTCTAATGTTTGCATGCACCGCAAGCAGAGATTGCATTCTTAACTGCATGCAGTAAAGTTGTAATATGACTACCCTTACAAGAATGATTCTTCTTATAAACAGTTGTTGGAGTTGAGTACCTGTAAAATTAGTGATGAGGCGAGACGAACCAGACACATTTAAGATAGCAGGTCTTGAACTTTGCAGAGAAATTCATTCACTAATTTGCTTGCTCAAAGGTCGTCTATAAATTGTTGTCTCATTTAAAGCAGCGACAAATGAAACTGGTTTTTCATTTGTTGTATAAACTTCTAGAACATCAATGGGAATCAGTCATCCCAAGCAACAAAAAGGGGTAAATGACGGCAAATTTTTAAGTATCCGGTATTAATATAAGCGACAGTGCATCAAAACTTTGCCTTTTCCCCAGACCGATGCAGGTAGTGCGCAATTTCCTCATCCAAGTAAAATACGTCACAAAATTAACACTTTTACCTTCCCGAAAATATATGCTTTTCTCAAAAACTAGCGATTTCCTTGTTGCCTTCCAAACGTTGAGATTGCAAAACAGACAATACATACAGCAGTTTGAAAAAAACACTTCACTAACATAAAAATCATCTGACAGCTAAAGAAACCCACTTAACAATCTTCCTTTGCATCATTTCACCCAAGACTGAGAGACTGTCTCAATTTCGCACTACTGTACTGATCTGCTACATCAGTACTGTTGAGTAGATGTACTCAATAATTCTGAAAAAAATAGGATCCTTAGCATCAAGATGAATTTAGTGCACCTTTTACGTTGAACATAAAATGATTATATAACTACTTGACAAATATTTCTTCATTAATGTAGACATATTTTATGACACAAACTACATACCAATTTGCAACCTTATCTTCCTTGTAAATAATGAAGACTGAAAACCAGAACGTAAATGATGCAAAAACTCATCTACATCGAATGTCTGTTCGACCAAATACAGTCCGTGTCAAATATTTAAATGTGGAATAGCGACCATTTTCGAAATGTCATCAATCTAATAAACCAACTACCAGGGAGTTTGGATGCGGTAAAACAAGACAAATTCAACATATTATACGTTTGTTGATTTCATCAGATTATGGAGATAGACATGACAAAATCACACTGCTAAATTCACTCAATTTCTCGATAAAATCTACTATTTTTCTTCTTTTCTTACGTGTATATAATTAATCACATTTTTTCACAATTACTCGTTTTATCACGTGTTTTTTTAAAAAATAGTCACAATAATGAACGGGTAAATTCTAGTTAATTATTTAATAATTGTATATAAAAATTAAATAATCCAAATTTTTTGTGGGTTTATTAACAGTTTTGCACGTTATTATTTTTAACAAACGAGACATTGAATGACCGTATTCTCAAATTTTTGTTGTGGTACGCTACATTCATGCTACCTCGCACACTATCACATTGTATATTACTAACGTGCATGTCATACCCATCTCCACGTTTTTTCGTTTTTGTTATTATCGTAAATATTACTTTACACATGTATATACCATACTCTCACAATTTTTTTGTTATTTTAACCACTGTTACCTCCGGACACTCTGGGGGGAGCTATGTGGAGATATGCATGGTAAGCTTATTTTGTAAATAGTTTTTGATGTTAGTTGTATTTATTCTGTTATTTTTTCATAGCCTGTACATTTACCACTAAATGATTGTACGAGTTGTTTAAATGTATGACCTTGAACACACTTTCTTCCGTCGTGTTACACTCATAGCATGACACACGCTGTTATCTACTAACAAATACACTGCTATACACATACCTCTTGTTCTCCATTGCTCATGATTGTGTTAACTGAACTCTAAATCAACTACCGTCTAAATTTATAGATTACAACCAAATTATACTATATTCCACATTTGGTTATATCACTGGAAGGACATCAATCTCACTGGAATCTTCAATCATATATAATTGTGGATTTTGGTTCCAAACTCAACCTGAACGCGCACAAGTCAGCCGGAATAAGTAACGTCTCTAGTTTTTATTGTGTTTATAACGTTTAACTGATATATATTACTGTTTGTACTTAATAAATCTGTTACTGTTTTTGAAATCATATATTGTCTGGTCCACCATAAGATGCTGATATGATGTGTGAATAATTTGGTAATTTAGACAGTCTTGGTAAAGCGAAGTGTAAGGACAAATGATGGTGGAAATGGCAAGAAGAGTAGTAGAAATAAGTTGATGGCACGGGAAAATGATAATGATGGACAACTTACGAGACATGAACCAGGTATAACCAGTCCAGGAGGAAAATGTGAATCAAAGAATGAGTGCATCATTGCCAGGCCTAGTTTTGAAGCTAGTTGTTCGCACACCTGCTTTGTCGTCCACAGTGTCGGAAGAGCTTGGTGGCATTTAAGAATGTGATCTTCATTTCCAACCGAAAAGACTTGTATACAATCTCAAATAATTTCTTTCTAAGTTCTCTTATATTGTCTTAAAGACCCTAAGCTGTTTGCCACCTTTGCGGTGTTTCTCGCTGGAGGCAGTTGTTTGGAGGTTTAAGAAAAAGTCACAGTTTGGAGCAAGTTGGTCTGTACCGTGGGAATTCATGAAAATGAGCTTATCTGCGTCCAGTACAGTTCGCGTGTCTGTGATGGTGGTGTCCTGCATCATATGTCGATGGTCGACGCCCACTGCGGATGAAGTGTTTCATATCGACAACAAAGCTAATCTTTTTCCATGACAACAATAATCTATAAGAGTGGGCTATACAGAAAGGTTTAGGTATCAGTGTCACGTTGTATACGGATAACATCATGTAAAAGCTATGGTGGCCGCAAGAATGGTCAGATTTTATTAGAAGGGCTAAGATCTCGTCTGGAACGATGACCACTCCCACACTTTCTATCAATTAGATTTTCCGCATGAACTTTGCCCTCTGGTTGGTTGTCATGTTTTTTAGTTCGCTAAATTGCCACATGTTCGAAGGGCTTATCCTGCTACTGTAGTAACCATCTTCGTGCCAATATCGCATGAGTTGCTTATTCAACCACATATACCACGTTACCCGCAACTCCATCTTATTCCTGTTTTAGCTGTCGAGGTTGGCTATGTTAAGCATAACTGACTGTTGTCAGTTACGAAATGAACCGATCGTATTAGAGAAGCCCAATTGTTACCGTCCATAAATCCGTAACACCGTATGCTTTACTAAACCTTAATAAAAAGACACGAAAGGTAACTACAAAGTTTTCTTTAGATTCTATAGTGTCAACGTCATTCCACGTTGTAATTCACCAAATTATGTGGTCTGTGTCCATGGTTTCAGGCTTTTTGGAATTTGGTGAGAATGGTGTGACCTCCCAGCTGGCTTTTTAGTCATATCTCATGGCTAATACTTGAAACCTGATGCGCTGTCGTGATGGCCGTGTGAATCGACTTCTGGAGTAACTAGCTTGAGTGAATATTTTCAACGGACAACAGAATTAATGAGTATTATTCGGTCGTAGACGTACATGGAGAAGCGACTGCGACACCCATCTTTCATTGAGATGGAGTTGGATGGTGGGCACTAGTTATTCCTGATCTTAACAAAAGTCGTTGAAGTGATCAACACTCAGTGATTTGTCTGCACATTACTTTGCTAGGACCCACTGAAATTATACTGGCCCTACAGGATATTGTGAATCAGATGACTGAAAAGATAGTTTGCGGTAAAAGCCGCTTCGATGTGATTTGTGGGCATACAGTACAAATACGGGTTTTTTATAATTTAGGTTTCTTCATGAATCGAACCTTTTTTCGATTGGTTGCCATTGCTTTTTGTTCGTTTAATGCTCGGAGACTCGAAGGCTGTATTTTCGTGATTGTAAAGGCAGAGTTGTACCATCTCACTCTATAATGATTGTTCCAGCTCGAATAAATATTTTCACTGTAATTTATCTTTTACGTGTCAGAAAGTCAGGTTTTGAAATATTGTACGCTGGTTGCAGTTACCATTTACTCAAGAGAACCGATTGTATCAACGTACTTCAGTTGTTTCAAATCCCTCAATAATCGCAAGTTAATGCCGAACCTAAAATAAAGAGTTAGAACAGGAACGACTTTTCCTTGAATCTCATAGGGTCCTAGAATATTATTAACACAGAAATCGATTCTGGCCTATATATTCATTTGGTGCAGTTATGACTTTCAAAATGCAGGAAACTCAGTCAAGCGATACTCTCAAATTTCAGAAAGCATTTTAGAACGACATTTCCATATAAGCATACTGGAATGTGATTAGCTTCAATGTAAAGGGAGCAGATATTTTATCTCGAACGACTCTGCATCCATGTATTGATATGACGAAGATGAAGATATGCTTGCATGGAAAGTGGACGGGTGGCCAAAGAAAATAAAGACAACTATATAAACCCCCGTAGATGTGTATATAGACTTAAGTGCGAAAACAAATTCACAAAATACCCTGTGTAGTATCACGCACCAGTCACCACACTTAAAATGCTTCAAACACGACGTAGCCAGTGAGTATTGTTGTGCCTGTATCTTCTAACGAAGAAGTTTGAAGACAAAGTAAGTAGGCTGAGATGATGATTCAGGAAACGACGTATTATACTGATTGTGGAGGTGGTGTTGTTGCACATTAAAACTAACAGGATCGGTCAGAGTTTACAAACTCTACGAAGCTGTTCGTAGCAAACTGTCCATCTCAGTCTGGATCCGGTATTATCAGGTACTCTTTGAATTTCTGTTAGCCTTATGATATCTATGATTACCAGAGTCGTCACTTCATGATGACAAAATTTGTCTTGATGTTCCAACGCGAATTTCAATGTACATAACCCACGTTAATTAAGGTGCTATCGTACGTCAAAACTTTTAATGATATTATAGGTTTTCCACCATAATCAAAATGAGTTTACATATGTTTAGCTAACTGACTCGACTCGCTATAAACGGCTGGAGTTGTAACTGAATAACTTGTACTGTCCTGCACTCAAGCTGCACTGTAAAGTGAGTTTGTGCCCTGGGCTATCGAACCTGGTGTAAAATGTATCGTACTTTGTGAGTTTACCTAGAAAACTGATAGTCTAAGCAGGAGAACAGACTAGGAAAAGAAAGTAGAAAGCGGGTAATATTCAAGTTTCAGAGCCAGTGAATTGTCATTGAATCTAGTGAGATTATCTGGCAGCCCGGTCACTGAATATCGAACGGTTTACCGATCCCCGCCAGAATCTAGAACAACTAACGAAGATCAATGCATTGCATGGCACGGACTGGGCCATGTGGTGGTGGTCATACTGATCCTTGTACCTACTCTTACTAATGTATTTCTGAAGAAACATCGTTTGTGTGGTACGATCATCAAAGTAGCCATAGTATCTGGATAGATTGAGGGGGTAATCAACGTTGGGTACTGATTGCGGAGTGTGACTTCGACAGTACACGGTTGGTCACGCCATTACCGTCAAACTCCATCAGTCCCTCAATCATTTAAAACAGATCATTTACGTCAGTGACGAAGAACACTGACGTGCAGTTCAGATCCCCATCATAGATTGATTAGTAAGCTATCACTGAAGAGGTAAAATCTAATTGTTCAGGACACAAATTTCAGTTTCTTGTGGTCGAAATACCTTTCAAATGACAAGATGTTTTCATGATGTTCATGGTTATATACATGACAGTGGTCCAGACGTCTGAGAAAACCGACGAATGTAGCTTGCTGCAGACCGCATTTCATTTACATTTTGTTTTGAAAATTCGAAAAACGTTTGTTCCATTTTTTCGGCTGTTATGTATGAATAAACGGGTGATTCAAACCGTTTATTCATAACACGATAAATGTCAGCGATTGAAAAATGTGAATCAGCTTCATCGAATAGTATATTGCGTGTCAGTTTGACGTTAGGCAGTAACGTTTATACATATTGTCGGTAATATCACAAGTTTTGAGTCCATTCTAATCTATTTTAATCAGTTCCGCGTTGTAGATATTTCAATTTGCAATAACTGATAATTTTGAACGGTGTCCTCCTTAATATCTTTCATCGAGCG